CTGTCGTCCTCAATCTTAACTCCGTAACTTAACTCCAGCTTACAGACTGGAACAAGACCTCTAAGCAATCACCCCTATTTAGGCAGAGGAAAGGCCCCCTCCTGGTTCCAGGCATGTCCCATTGGGAGGAGGCCTGGTGGACGGCCCAGGAGGGACTATGTCTCTGAGCCGGCCTAGTGTCACCTCAGGGTCCAGAGCAGCTGGAGGAAGGATTGGGGAGTCTGGGCATCTTTGCTTAGACTGTTCCCTCCGTGACCCGGCCGCGGATAAGCGGAACAAAATGGATGGATGGATAGAAACACTCAAACTATTTTATGTCACAAATAGGCCAAAATATGCTTCCACAAGTTCCTCTGGGCTGAAAACAGATTTTCCTTGAAATGTGGTTGAGATGCTGATGATGATGTTAATAATGATAATAATCTGTTCTGACAGGCAGCCCCTGCTGGACGCCTTACCAGCATGCGGATCTGAAAACTGCATTCTGCTGCTGACCCACCTGATCCAGAATGAGGAGCTGGAGGAGGGGCAGGTTAACTCTTTCCTCACCGCCTTAGCCTTCATCCCGCATCCGTCTCCGCAGATCATTGGATTCATCAACGTAGGAAATTATCTCTGAAACTCTTCTTTTCTCTGATGCATTATTTCAGTTGAACGGATCTAATGTCTTTATTGAAGGGTTTTCTGGAGAAGCCGCAGCTACGGTCCAAGGCCATGCTGGTTGGATCGTCTCTGATCCACCAGCTGTGCAAAAGGTCTGAAGCTTCCTGTGGTGAAACTCCTCAGGTTCAGGCTTTCATGCGAACGCTTCAGGAAACCCTGACTGCAGGCTGCGAGGAAAAGGAACCTCATCAAGTCAGAGAGGTAAAGCTCGCTCGTTTCTGCCGGTCTTGTAAATGAATCAGGGAATATTTACAGATATTATCTTGTGTCCAATCAACAGCTGTTCTATGCTCTGAAATCCATTGGAAACGTTGGTTTGACTGCAGCTTTTATTCCACTGCTGAACGGCTGCGTGCTGAACCTCAAAGCTGAGCTGAAGCTCAGACTCGCTGCCGTCCAAGCTTTCAGGCGCCTGCCCTGCTCAGCTGACGTGAGTTTAAAAGTCCAGTCATTAAGGAATAATCATTATTTATACCTAAAACTAATAAGTAATTTAATTCATTTAGTGTTAATCAGTAAAAAAACTTTTCCTTTAATGGGAAAAATATGGTTAAAAAAACTGGACCAAATAGGATCCTTGAATGTTTGAGTTGGACAACATCTGGATTCTTTGGCCTGATAGTCTAAAGCAAGGGTCACCAACGCGGTGCCCTCAGGGGGCCACATGGGGGGCCCTCAGAGTCTTCTAAATAAAGAACAACAAAGTTTGAAATTTTATTTTATTCTGTTGCTCTTCTTTTTAATCATTTATAGAGATTTCAAAATGACAATGTCTGAATAAACTTAGAAATGAACAGAAACAATAAAAATATGTTGATGATGAACTAAGTTTAGGCTAACGCTAACCCCTGCAGCTCATGGGTCAGTAATGGTCGCCCTTCCTACGTCTCCTAAGTAAAAAGGTTGGTGACTCCTGGTCTAAAGCAACAATTTCCAATTAAAACAAAACAAAAACAAAATCCCATTAAGGCCTGTTCAGAAAGGGATAATTGATTCACCGTCAGCACCTGTGATGACATCATTAACAACACCTGCAGAGGCGCCAGGTAACAAAGTACAAATAATTTGTCACTTTACTTAAAGTGGAACGCCGTTTCTTTCCCATTAGGTCCTTGA